GAATCTGCAATGCTTGGACCTCACAGCAGCAACTCTGTCCTTTAGATACTTACATTTCAGCCTGTACTGTTGGCAGGGCATGGAGTAAACATATGGATTCAAGGCTAGGGGGTGCTGAGAAATTCCAATGAATTCTACTTGCGTTTGATTTTTTTCCCCAGGTGACCTTAAACAACGTGGAAGTCTGCAGTGAAAACATCATGACCCTAAAGAAGACGTTGGAGGTGCGCTCTGTATTCTTTACTGGGTTTTTTTCCTAAATCAAATTTGTAATATCCTCCCTTGGCAGGGGTCAGGTAAAGCATCTGGGCTTCGATATGCCCACATTCCTGAGGTCTTTGCCCTCCAGCCTTAGGAAAGCAATTTTGAGCTGGTGGCAGAGCAATTTCCAGCTGATGGCAGCGGCCCGAAATACCATTTCCTTCAGCCTGACCAACCTGGTGCGGGAATAAAATGTACCTGGTGGAGAGGCTGTGGTTCTCTGATGCTGGGCCAGACAGCCCCTGGCTGCCTTTCCTGCTCTCCTCTCTGTCTCCCCAGCTGGAGCCAGCTGCCTGTGCCTTTGCAGGGGCAGGAGCTGGGCACCTGTCCTAGCCCACAGGCTGGTGGGCAGCCAGAGCTCGGCAACACGAGGGGACAGGAACTGCCCAAGTTATTAATTTGCAGCTTGCTCGTGGATCTCTTCCCTGCAGAGTGATTGCAGCAAACTGCTCAGCCAAGGCTTCGGGGGCGAGCAAGCACAGGCCAAGATTGAGAGCTGCCTGTCGGACATGGCTGCTGTCTCCAACAAATTCCGGGACCTGCTGCAGGTGAGTGTCCTGATGAGTGGCTGCTGGCCTCCCACACTGGCTGCTGGTGTCTGCAGGGAGAACTCAAGCAGCAGTCAGTTCAGCCCAGGGCCTGGGCCACGTCTGACCCCGGGAGTGCTGGGTAGGGGTGCAGTCAGCTTTGAGGCATGGCAGCATCCCCAGCCCCTTTGCACAGCTGCACCAGCTGGCGACTGCAAAAAAAGCACTGGAAGCAGCTGCAGAGCCAGAAGGAATGTTGCTCCATTTGTCTTCACTCAGCATGGAGCTGTAGTTGGTTCAGCACTTTCAGGAGAAGAAATATTAATAGCATTTCCATCTCCTCCATTCTCCCTCGTGGCACAGCACATTGTCAAGTTGTCCACAGCCTCACGAGGTAACGCTGAAGACACGCAGTTGGTAGAAAAGAGCTACTCTTTTCTCAGGTTTCTCCTCCTTTCCCAAATGGAAATACTCCTCAGCACAGAGCAGAAGACTCTCTGGCTAAATCCAGTCTCCTGTGGCATCCCGGGGCCTGTTGTCCTAAAATTTCACAGTGGTCTTTGGCAGGGAGAGACACAGAAAGACCTAGTACCTTCTGTGGAAAAAACCAAGCAAGAGTATTTTGAGCCAGGTTTGCTTTTGTACTTCACAGAGGGGCCAGGCTATTTTTTCATTTGGCTTTGCAGTTCAGGGCAGCCAGATGTCTTCAGACCAGCATTGCCAGAAAACCCTCTTGGTGCCTGTGGTCTGTATCAAAACCAAAGAACTTGTCAGTAGGGAGTAAAATTCTCCAGACTGGCTCTAGTGCAGTGTTAAAACTGGCTGCAAAGCAATCAAGAGGCTGAGCAGCAAGTTCCTGCCCTGCCTGAGTCACACACAGATTGAATTTGCCTCGAAAAAGGAGAATTGCCAGCAGGGCCTCCTCAGAAACGTCAGTTTTAGTTAAAAACTTCCATCAAATGCCAGGCAGTATCATTACCTGCATAGTTTCATGCTGGGTGAGCTTACTGAGCCGAAGGGGGGTGTCTGACAGGAGAGGCCTTTGAGAGCTCTCGAGCATCACACCGGACAGAACAGCCTTTGCTGACAACCCGCTGCTCAGGGGAGATGGCATGTTGCTGGGGTTATGATTAATTCAGGGAACTCGCTGTGGGTACGGCTTTTATCCTCCTTTTAGCTTCTCCTACTGAGCTGAGCTGCGCTGGAGGTGGAAGGCATCAGCTGAGTGCAATCACATTGACCTGGCTGGTGCTGAGTGGAAAAGCTGGAGTTTGTGTCCTTTCCTGTGTGCCTCACTCCTGCCAGGAAACCTCTGCAGCTGTGTGGGATGGGCTGGGGGGAGCACGAGCCCTTCAGACCAGGCTGCAGGTCAGCACAAAAGCAGCTTCTGGGCCAACATCCTTCCTCTTCTTGTTGTTGTGGCGTCCTCAGAGCCTGCCAGCACCGGAAGAGTGTGGGATTTGGGACTTGGGTTCAGATTCCTGTGCGAGTCTGTGGGTCGGTTTCCCCAGCTTGCAGTGAGGATGGAAGCATCAACACATCCTGGCTGTAAAGGTTTTGTGCCTCACTTTTGTCCTCTCTTCTCGCTGTCCCCCTCAGGAAGGTCTCAACGAGCTGAACAGCACAGCCATCAAGCCCCAGGTGAAGCCCTGGATCAACCTATTCCTGTCTGTCTCCCACAACATCGAGGAGGTAAGTAAAGCTCAGTGTTCTCTGCTTCCAGCTGCACCTGGGAACTCTGTCCTCTGCTCAGCAGCACAGCCAGAGCAACGCTTTCATTCTCCTCAGTCACCTGCTGTTTCCTTGGCACAGAGCAGCAGTAAAATACTCAGATCTTGCTCTGCAGCTGAGCCTGGAGAGGGACATTTGGCTAGAGAGGAGCTTCAGAAAATGGAAGGGGTGCAGTGCTGCTCCAGGAGGGACCTCCCTTCCTGTCCTCTGGGCTGTTGGCTGCAGTTCACTTCAGGCCACATAAACAACCCTTTGCATTTCACTGTCAGGAGGAGTTCAGCGACTATGAGGCCAACGACCCCTGGGTCCAGCAGTTCATCGTCAATCTGGAACAGCAGATGACAGAGTTCAAGGTGAGAGAGGGAGGGAGGGAGGAAGGGAGGACAGAGATGTCCTCCAGTGCCTTGCAGGGCTTTTAGGGATCCAGTCACCCCCTTCTCCTGCAATTCTCAAAGCCTGCTTGCAGGCCCCACGTACCTGGATCACTTCTGTGGTGCTCTCCACTTGACAAGCCTGCAAGTGATGGGTCTTTATTTGAAAGCTCTCCTAGGCTTGGGGTTTGGGGACCTCTGCTTACCTTTTCTGGACAAGAATGACACAAGTTTCTGCTTCCAGGCTGGACTGTCTCCAGTGATTTACGATACCCTCACTGGTCTAATGACCAGTCTCATAGCCATTGAACTGGAGAAAGTGCTGCTCAAATCCACCTTCAGCAGGGTAAGCAAAACACCCCTCTACCCTGTAGTCTGGTTGGACTCCAAACCCTTAGTAGAGGGATGGGGCAGGTCAGGGGCTAATGTTACCCTCAAAAAAGCTCTGCAACCACTAGTGGCCAGCTCAGGGACATCCTGTATTACCACCCACAGGGAGAAAGTGTATGTGACAGGCCTGAGAAAAGCTGGCACCAGTAAGGGGGGTGGCTTTAGTGGTGGGTCTAAACATAACCCATTTTAAGCTGCAGTAAATGGTCTAACTGGAACCCTCCTGCTCAGAGACCTCCCTCTGCTACCCTGTAACTTTTAACTGTGTCTTTGGCACAACCCCTGGGCCTGCTTGGAGAGGTCACAGAGCTCCCTCGTGCCCACAGCTCGGCGGTCTGCAGTTCGACAAGGAGCTGAGGTCTCTCATAGCCTATCTCACCACCGTCACCACCTGGACTATCCGCGACAAGTTTGCCCGTCTTTCCCAGATGGCCACCATCCTCAACCTGGAAAGGGTGAGCTGCGCTTGGCCTGCTTTTACTGGGGGGCTGGGGGAGCCCCAGCTGGACTCCCCGTGGCTTTACTGAGCTCACCCAGGTGTCGTCACACCTCCAGGGTGTGGGGAAGCTGCAGAAGTTGCCCCGTGCCTGACGGGTGCTCGCCTGCAGGGTTAGTGGCAGGAAATCCTGTGACAGGGGGGTTTGTGAGTGAGTTTGAACTCACCTGTGCAGGTGGTCTGTGCCGAGTCGTCTCCTACGGGTCCCTTCTTTCTCCAGGTGACAGAGATCCTGGATTACTGGGGCCCGAACTCGGGCCCGCTCACCTGGCGCCTGACGCCGGCCGAGGTGCGGCAGGTGCTGGCTCTCCGCATCGACTTCCGCAGCGAGGACATCAAGCGGCTGCGCCTGTAGCTGTCGGTGCCTGTGCCGGCACCAGCTCCAGGTAACGGCAGCAAAGCTGCAGCCCCAGGGCCTGCCCAGGCTCTGCCCTGGCTGGCTGTTACATGGAGTGGGGATGAGGCGATGTCTGCCCTTCCACTCGCATTCCGGGGAGCAAAGGGCTTTCCTGGGCCTGGCAGGGAGAGCTGCCACCCTTCTGTGGGAGCAGAAACAAAGCAGCAGAGAGCTGCATGATGCTCTTTCTCAGAACACCAGCCCCCGGCGCTCTGCTCCCTGCGGGAGGGCACAGGGCAGGACAACTGGGGGCTGCTGAGGCTCAAAGATGGGTCTGCAGAGCTCTGCCCGTGCAGCTGCTCCAGTCATGTGCCCTCTGTGCCCCCCAGTTTACAGGTCAGCTCCTGGAGTCACAAATCCTGAGCCCTGGTTCTCTCCTGGTGGTGGTGGGGACTGCTCTGCTGAAGGGAAAAGGAGTGATTTCCTTGGGAGGGTACGTGGAGAATCACTAGAAAGCCTCTGTGGGAAGCAGGGCTGTGTCCCTGCTGGCTCGCTGTGCCCTGTACAGCTACACTGTAAATAAACCTCACCTGGCTGAGCTGCAGTCTCAGGTGGTGTGTGCATCCATGAGCCTGGACGGAGCTGGAGAGATGCTGGGCAAAAACTCTGCTCTATTTCTCCTCTTCTACCCTCGCCAGGGCATCCAGAGGATCTTCCTGCCCTGCTTGGTGCTGTCCCCCTCACCTAGGGCTATGGAGGGCAATGACCAGCCCCTGCATGCAGGTTCTGCCGTTCCCATTCCTGGAAAAACTTTGCCCACGCATTGCTGGGCTCTTTCTCTCCTGTGGGGGCAGCCCTGCCAGGCACAGAGGGGCACAAACACCTGCTGGGAACAAGCTTTTTTATTCAGACTGACTGCAGCAATCAGTAATTTGCTTTCATTATTCACTATGTCAGTGTTGAAATAGTCCCTCAAGACAGGAGAGAGTCTTGATTCCACATCCAAGTACATTCTTGGTGCAGGAGCATAGTGTACTGAACAGGCACAGGTGCTGCTGGAAGAGCAGGAAGGTTCCTGCCAGAGGCAGCATCACAAATGCTAGTGTTTTCCCTTTGGAGAACCGTAAAAACTGGAGTGAAACCGCAAAATCAGGCTGGAGGCCCTTTCAAACTGTCCTTCCAGCAAGGCCACCCTGCAGGGAGAATTCTGCCTGCCCGGCTCATCACAGCTTCTCCAGCCTCTGTGGCTTTTGGGACAAGCAGCAGCACAAAAAGGCCATATCAAGACCTCAGGCACCTGCTGGAGCTCTCCTTAAGCAGTGGGGATTTCCCGTGTATCTGCCAGGATCTGGCCAGGGCTGAAGGCCTTCACACAGCCCTGTCCTCTCCAGGGTGAGCACCATCCTTCGTATCACATCCCACAACCTCCACAGAGAAACCGCCCGTGTCCACCTCAATGCTGTGGATGCTGAAGTTGCCCAGCCCCTAGAAAAACAAAGAGCCACTGGTTGGGACAGGAGCCAGCAAGGAACCTGTTCTCACCTCCAAGGTCCCGGGGATGGCACTGGGACAACCAGCAATCACATCCCACGGGCGGTGGGGTGAGATGCTCGCTCGCTCTTACATAAGGCTCCTGCAAACAGCCTGTGACAGTGAACCTCCCAGGAGCTCAGAGCTCACCTCGGTGCCAGCGAGGAGCTGCTGCAGAGCCTCTTTCTGCCGCGGGGCTTTGGTTAAGACGTAGAGGAAGCCACCGCCGCCAGCCCCGGCCAAGCACTGCCCATGGACGTGGGGCCGCAGAGCGTCCATCATGTGCCCAACGGCCAGCGGCTCACACCCAGGGGCCATGACCTTCTTCTGCTGCCAGTAGCGGTCCAGACACTTGCCAACGAGCGGCAGGTCACCTGCAGGGGAGGGGACATTGTAAATGACTTGTCTCTGTTTCTCGCCCGAAGGGCAGGGACCTGTCTCTGCCTCTCCTGCTCAGCACAAGCTAAATTCTGCCTTCTCCTCTCTCCAGTTCCTCCCAGCTCTGCCTGCCAAGCAGGCATCCCCAGCCCTGTCACGTTGCTGTTTATTTTTAATCCTCCACAGGGGGAGGATTTGCTTGCTTTAATGCTCTGGCTTCCTCTCCACAGCATCCCAGCAGCCAAGTGAACCCACTGCACAGGCCAGGAATGGCCCCCAGCCCCATCACCAATGGCTCACAGAAAATCAACCAGACTCAGCATGTCTAACCCCCTCTTCCTCAAAAATCTTTGTTCAAGCCTGAATTCTGGGGCATTGCCTGGCAAGGGTGTATCTGGGGGAGAATTTGATACTTTTGCAGCTTGCAAGAGGCTGCACCCCTCAGCTTTTGCCCCCTCCAGGACTGCACAGCCTCTCCCCAGGGAAGTTTGTGTTTCTTCAGCTGTTAAAAGGGCTGGCTTGGCACAGGGAAGGGGATTCACACCTTGCCTCAAGGCCTGGGCACACTCCTCAGCGTTGCTCACCAGCGCATCAGTGTTTTGCACGATGGAGGGCAGCCTGGCGTACCAGTTCCTCACCACGTCCTGCAAGAGGCCAGAATGTCCTTGTCACTGTTCTCTGGCTTTGGCAGCACCCAGGGATGTAATGCTGCACCCACAGCCTTGGGTGTCAGCTCCCACTGGGGTGGCAGAGATCTGCACCAGTGAAGGGGACAGGCACCAAAGGCCACAGGAGGAGCAGAGGACAGAGCCTGTGACACCCAGGGGCACCTGGGCATCACCTGGAGCAGGTTGCGGGCCAGGCGAGTCTTCCCCGTGTACACCAACAGCAAGTGATCATTGAGGGTCTGGGTAAAACCATCAGGCACCAGGATCTGCTCCACTTCCACTCTGAGGGGCAGCTGGGCCTTCGACCTTCCGATTTTGATGCCAGGGACGAGCCCACCAACCTGGTCCTGCCAACCACCACCTGCAGGGCGGAGGGTCCTCAGCCACGGCTGGGACCCCCAGCCCGTGGTCCAGCTGCTCCCCCAGGCTTACCTGTCGTGAGCCTCTGCTCCAGGTGCAGCACGGCGTGGATGAGGGACTCGGTGCTGGCAGCCTTGCCAGCCGCCCGGTACAGCGATGCCATCACCGCGCCCGCCAGGATGCTGCTGGTGCCTGCAGGGAGCACAGGCAGGGCACTGAGGCACTGTGTGTGCCCTAAGGGTGGGGGGCAGCAAGGGGGATACCCCATCCTGGTGCTGTCTCTGGCACATGAGGGACTGCCCAGCCCTTTCCCTGCAGACTTACCCAGGCCGGACCCGTGGGGCAGCTTGGACCAGGTGTGCACTTCGAAGCCACTCCCAAAACTCTCCATCAGCTGGACCCGCAGGGGTTTCTGTGAGGGGAACTGCACGACCTGGGTGCAGATGAAGGCAGCTTTGAGCAAGGCTCCTGAAAACAAGAGGAGGTAAAGCTGATGCCTGCTGTGCTACCTGCTGCCTCGTGCCATTGTCCCACCCTGACACCGGGAGGACGTGGCAGGTGCGGAGGCGGGCTGTGCAGCTGGGGGGACAGCTCACCTGGTGCGTGTGGCTGGCAGTAATCCTGCAGGTCTTCCAGCTCCCTGCACAGCAGCTCCGTCACCGCCTGGCTGGGGGGGGTCCCGCTGAGGCTGACGAGGCGCAGCTCCGGCTCGGGGATGCGCCGCACCCGGGCGCCGATGGGCCGGCACCCGTCCACCAGCACCGCCACATCCACCACAGCCCCCCCGTGCTCGTAGGTGATGGGGGGCGTGTCACTCCAGCCACCTGCCAAGGCTCACCATCAGCCCCCCCGGGGCACCCCCACTGCTTTTTCCCCAGCACCACGGGGGTGAGACACGGATTGTCTGACAGGGGGGATGTACTCACCGGAGAGGTCCAGGCGGGCCGGACAAGCCACCTGCACCCAGTGCCCCAAGGGTGGCAGCTCTGCCTGCTCCACGGTGACAAACTGGCACGAGGACATCACCGCCTGCCGGACCAGGATTTGCTCGGCCCCCTCGTAATGCCGAGCCGCTCTCACCAGCAGAGCCGGCCTGGGATGGGAGGGATGCTGAGCCCACGTCTCCAGGACTGCACTAGTGCCTGGGGCGGGGTGTTCACCAGCCCCAGCCTCACCGGCTCATCCATTTCTGCCGCTCGGCAGCCAGCTCCCGGACACCGCTGGCAACGTCCCCGCGCTCCAGGCACGCGAAAGCCGAGGCCCACTCCCTGTTGGCAGCAGGGCCGCTCCGCAAGCCCCCTTCCCCTCGTGCCATGCAGCCCAGGACCTCAGCGATGCAGGCGAGCGCTCGTGCTGCAACACCAGCATCACCGGCCATGGAGGCAACTAGAAAATAGAATTAAAGGAGGCTGCAGGTCACCCCAAACCAGCCCGCTTCTGCCATAAGCCAGCCCCAGGGGAGCAGGACTCAGATGGCTTGTGCCCACACAGCCTTGCTGGATGCCCTGTGGGTGCACTCCCACAATAGGTGGGATCGCTGAAGGGGGTGGGGAGCACCAGATGGTCCAGATAGCCAGAGATGCAGCTCGTGTGAGTCCAGCTCACCTTCATCCAGCGTGCCCAGCACAGCCTCGTGGTACCCCTCATAGACAGCACTACGGGCCAGTGGCAGGAGGCTGCTGTCCTGGCGCCCCAGCAGCACCCGCCGCACCTTGCGCTGGCCCTGCAGGAAGAAAAGGGCCTGGCGGGTGCCCAGCTCGGCCGCCGTGTCCAGGCAGGGCAGCAGCTCCTGCCAGGACATGCGCCAGGCCGTCCTCCAGCGCGCCAGCCGCTCGCCCGCCAGCGCAGCCGGGGCCAGCAGCCACAGCACGTCCTGCAGCCCCAGCGCCTCGCGGGCGTGCAGCACCGGGAACAGCCGCGCGCTCAGCAGGCAGCGGCTCCTCCGCGGCGTCGCGGCGTCCCAAAGGTCCCCTTCCCTGGTGGAGGGAGAGCCCGTCAGCACTGCCCTGCGGCTCGAGAACACCTTCCAGGAGGGGAGCGGGGATCCAGGATGGGTTGGGATGGCTGTGACGCCTCCCCACTGCAGCTGTCCCTGTGGGAGCTGGGTCTCCTGTCCCATCCTGGCACACGGCACTTACCGTATGCCAGTGCGTTGGAAAAACTCAGGCCAGGGCACGTTCAGGTAGGTGGCCTCTTCCACGGGGCTCTGCAGGAGCACAGAGGGGCCGGTTACACCTTGGCTTTGAGGGGAGCCTCGTGCCCTCTCGCCATCCCCGCACCTGCCAGTCGTCGAGGCGGCCCGTGAGAGTGAACACACGGCAGGGCAGGTCACGCAGCCGGACGTGGTGGCCCTGCAGGACAATGTCACGCAGGGGACAGCCCCGCAGGGCTGGCGAGGAGCCCACGTCGAGGCCTGAGAGGAGGCAGCCAGGACCGATCTCCAGGGGACCCTGAGAAGAGACAGCACAGCATGGAGTGGCACGGCTTGCCCCCAGACCAGAGCCAAATCCTGACCTGGGAAGGAGACAACTACCCTGGGAGAGAAGCTGGAGCTGGCACGAGGCAGGTGGCAGAAAGACATAATTTGCTTTGTCACAGGGCTGTGAGGACATGGACTACAGAAATTCGGGTCAGGTGACAGCCTCCAGGGGCTCACAGCCATAACAGAGCCCTCAAGGAGAGAGTCTGCAGGGTCCCGAGGGAGGGACAGCCCAGAGGTGACAGTCACAAGGGTCCCCAGCACCAGCCAAAAGGCAGCCCTGAACAGAAAAGGCACCCCAAACCTCATAGCTGTGGCTCCCCCATCCTAGCCAGCACCACATCACCCTGCTGCCCCTTCAGTGCACTGGGAGCTCGGGGTCATTCCCACCCTAGTCACGTACCTGGAGGTGACAGTGCTGGATGACACTGCCGGCTGCCAGCCCCACAGCTCCCTCCAGCAGGCAGTTGGTGACTGAAGAGCCATCCTCCAGGAGACAGGGCTGCTGCCGAGGGCACAGAGGCACGTGGGACCGGGGGCCAGGCACACAGCCCACAGCAACCCCCAGAAAACATGCATGAGCAAGGCTGGGGGTGGAAGCACATACGTCCACGTGGGAATGGGCTGTCTTGCAGAAGCGCAAGTGACTGGCAGAGCCAGGCAGGAGAGTCAGGCTGCGGATGTGGTCGCTCGCAGAGGTGGTCATGTAGTCATAGGATGCATCAGGGATGCAGGCTGGGGGAGCAAGAGAGACTTCAGCACACCAGCAAACAATGTGGGTGTGTCTGACACCCCCGTGAGCCCAGGACAGGCTGAACATCCCCAGCTGAAGGGGTGGGGAGAGAAGATGTGGGGACCTGCAGTTGTAGGGAGATACAGAGAGCTGCCAGGACCTGACCACCCCATCTTTCCATATACAGGAGGAGAGGGCCCAGGGATGGCTCACATCACACACACTCACCACAGCACTGAAACACAGAATGATTGGGGTTGGAAGGGACCTTAAGGATCATGTAGTTTCAACCCCATGGGCAGGGACACCTTCCACTAGAAGGTGGAAGGAAACACTCACCCATGGTAAGAGGGAAGCCACGGAGAGCTGTCCACAGCACGGAGCGGGCACTCCTCACGCTGGCATCACTGCCACCCTTCACAAAATCCTCCTCTGTCATCCCCCCTGCCATGCTCAGCACAATGTCAAAAAACAGGGAGAGCTGGGGAGAGAAGGGACTTGTCAGGTGCAGCCACTCTGACCTCCACCCTACTGCTGGGTGCTCCCTCCCACCATCTCTCCCACCCAAATCTGGCCCTACAGAAATGCCCAGGAGTGGCACCTCTGTGGCAAGGGGTCCCATCCCCCGTGGAGGGACTCACCTGGATGGGAGGTGCCCCCGAGTCCAGCCCCATGTAGGTACAGGCGTCCAGAGGAGGGATGACGTGGGTGGCCAGAAGCTGCTCAGCAGCGTCCGAGGAGAAGAAAACAATCCCACAGACCTGCCAGGGCACAGCAGGGCTGAGGCTGCAGCTGTGGTGACACAAGGGATGGTGCTGGCAGGGTCACCAATGCCCAGGTCACGCCGTACCAGCGGGACGGTGCCATCAGGCCCTGCACACTGCTGGATTTGGGCCTCTGTGCCTTTGTAGATGATGTCACGCACCAGCCCCTGCGAGTGAGACCATCCCAATGAGATCCTCAGGGAGCCCCAAGCCAAGCAGCCACAGCAGTGCTGGGACCTCAGCAGACAAGGGACGAAGGGGTGGGGACCTCCAAGGAATGTCCCTCAAAGGGTGAGCTGCCACCGACCTGCTCATCAGCGAGGTAGACCCCGTGGTTCCTGGCATACACCGGGCTCCCGGGCACCGCGATCACTCTGACGCCCTGGAATCCATCCCAGCTGATCCCTGGGGAGAAGGACAGAGACCAGTGCCCAGTGGGGCAGTGCATGTACCCACATGGTGACATCAGCATCCAGCCTGGGCCACCTTACAGGTGCCGCCGACCTTACGCAGGACAGGAATGCTTGAGCACCCACACCCTCACGAGAGCACACTGCAGGCTGAACCAGCTGTGCTGCTGGCTCAGAGCCCTGTCCCGGGCCAAAGCAGGAGCTGGAAGCAAGGCTGGTATTCACTGACCTGGTGCCGAGGGCACGGTGAGGAGCATGTCAGTGCTGCAGACCCAGACGCCGGGCGGGGAGCCCACACAGAGCTGCTGAGAGAAGGGCCACGTGCCCAGGGATGGCAGGGAAGGGGCCCAGCCCTCGTGGGGCACCCAGCACCCCTCCCGCCCTGCTGGGAGCCGAACCCACCACCCCCAGGGCCCCGTCCCCAGGCCACACAGACCCGGTGTGTCATGGTCCCCAGCAGGCTGTCCAGGTTGCAGACCAGCGCCTCGGCCGGGGCGCCGGGCTCCTCCGCGGGCAGGCAGGTGAAGGCGCGGCCGCAGTCATCGAAGGAGAAATCGCGGCCCTGGTGGGACGGAGAACGTGGCGGGGGTCAGCGGTAGGGAGCGGGTCCCACGCCGGGCTGCAGGTCGGCTCTCACCATGTGCAGGATGAGGATGCGGGCGTCCCTCAGGACGTCAGCGGTCACCACCTGGCGGGGGACAGCAGGGGACAGTCAGCGGGGACAGCACAGACACTGCCCTCCCTCCCAGCTCCCCCCCCACCCCGAGGCCGCCAGCCCTCACCGTGCAGCCGGCGCGGGCGCTGAGGTGCTCGGCAGCCACCAGCAAGGCGTTCAGGGTGGCACCGCCGCTGCCCAGGCGGGCCCAGGGGTCCTCCACGGCCAGGAGCAGCGCGGGGGGGCGCGGGCCCAGCGCGCCCCGCAGCCGCCGCGCCTCCAGCTCTGCCAAGCGAGAGGCGGGAGCCGCTGAGAGCCGGTCCCCGCCGCCCCGCCGCGGCGGGCAGGGAGGCAGGGAGGGCGCCCGCCCCGCCGCTTGCCTCGCTGCAGCGCGGACACGGCGCCATGGCCGCGCCGGCAGGTGAGAAGGAGTGCGCTCCACTCCGCCGCCATAGCCACCCCCGCCCCGCCGCCGCGGGGCCTGCTGGGAGCTTTAGTCCAGCCCCCGCTGCCGCGGAGGGGCTCTGGGCCAAGAGGGACTACAACTCCCAGCGTGCACTGCGCGGCCTGCCCGGGCCGCTTAAAGGCACAGCGCACTCCAGTGCTGCTCCCCCCCCCCAAAAAAAAAAATCAGTCTCCCCCCTCTCGCCACTCCGGGGGGCTTGCAAAGGCGGAAAGGGGGTTTTGGTGTCTTCTGGCCTAAAATGGGTCCCGGCGCCGGCGCACACCCCTAAGGGCCCTGGATCATCTCTGTCACGAGCCTGCCCGGACTCAGCCCGGCTGCTCACAGGGATCTCTGCAGCGAGGGGATGGATGCGGGTGTCGGTGCCCAGTGGGGGTCAGGGCGGGTGCCCGGTGGGTGCTGGGGTGCGATCGAGGTCGGTACTGGGGGATGCCGGTGCGCCGGAGTGGGTAGCGGGGTGGATAATGGGGGGTGGGTACTGGAGTACCGATGTCCCGGGCTGGACACCGGGATAGATACCGGAGATGCCTAAGAGCCGGGTGGGTACCAGGGATGCCAGTGCGCCCGGTGGGTACCGAGATAGGTACCAGGGTGGGTACCTGGGATGCCGGTGCGCCGGTTGGGTACAGGGATGGGAACCGAGGTGGGTACCAGAGTGGGTACCGGGAGTGTGCAGGGTGGGTACCGCGGTGGATGGATCCCGATGGAGGAGTACCGGGGGCTGAGTACAGAGGATGCCGATATCCCGTTATCTCGGGCTGGGTACCGGACTGGGGCGTGCCGATGTGCCGGGGTGAGTTCCGGGCTGCAATCCCGGAGACCCCATCGCGGCGGGTGGGCGCAGGCGGCTCCGCTCGCCTCCTACAAGTCCCACAAGCCCCTCCGGGAGGCCAAGGACTACATCTCCCAGGCTGCCGGAGCCGGCCCCCCGCCCCGCACGGCACGGCACGGCCCCGCACGGCGCGGAGGGCGGCGGCGCCCGGGTGAGCCCGGCGGCGGGGCCGTGCCGGAGCTGAGCCAGGTACCGCGGCGGGGACGGGCCCGGGGCGGGGGTGCGGGCACGGCTCGGCTCGGCTGGGCTCGGCTCGGGGCACCGGTGCCGGGGAGGCGGCGGGGATGGCGGGGGAGCCTGAGCGGGAGCTGCCCCGGGGCTGCGGGCTGGTCCCGGGGCTGGCGGCTGGCCCCGGGGGGCATCCACACGGAGTGCGTTGGGCTCAGCCCCGGCGTGGTGGTCCCGGTTGTTGGCCCCGGTCCTCGGTGCAGGTCCCGGTGCTGGCGGCTGGTCCCGCTGCTGGGAGCACCCACCCGGGATGCAGTGGGTGCTGAATAGCCCCGGGAAGATGCGCTGCCCTGGGGTGCTGGCCTCCAGTCTGGGTGCAGGTACGTGTCCGGGGCGCTGGTCTCGGTTCTGGGTGCTAGCCGCTGGAAGGATCCACCGGGGATGCAATGGGTTCGCATCCGTGAGGTTGTGCTGGCCCGGGCCCTGCGGTGTTGGCCCCGGGGAGGATGCGCTGGCCCCAGTCGCGGGGTGCTGCCCGGGAGGATGCTGGCCCTGGCAGGGGCGTCGGGGCTGGGGCCGATGGAGCTGCTTCCCTCCAGCCGAGTGCCCCAGGATACTGTGGGCAGAGCTGGGTGGCCACGGAGGGGACCGCGGTGGGAGGGCTGTTTGTGGGTAACCCCCGTCCCCACCAGTGCCATGTAAGGTCCCTCAGCAGCAGTGTGGCACATGGCTGCGTGACACATGGCGTCCATTGCATGGGTAGAGGCAGCCAGGATTTCACAACCAGCCTGAGCGTCCCTGGGGACAGGGTAGGAAACTGTGTCACGGAGCAGGGGATGTCCCTTGCCTGCTTCTGTTTGTGTGTGGGGCGCCAGCGCGGGCATTGGTGTGAGATCTCCTCGGTGTGCCTGTCCCAGTGTTTTGTGGTGTTTCCCTGGCTGAGGCACGGCTGCCAGAGTGGGATTGGTGCCGGAGCCTGGATTTCAGGGCCTGGCCAATGCAGAGGGTCCCCACAGGCGCCAGGGGCTTGGGTGCTCCTGGCGCAGGGGAAAGGCAAGGTTTTGCTCAGGCTCCAGCTGCAGAGTCGGAGCACTCATCCCAAAGCTCCCAAAAATTTTCCCCGGAGCAAGGGCTTCCCATCCCAGCAGGAGAATTTTTAGGGAGGAGGACATCGGCAGCATGCAAGCTCAGACTGGAGAAAGGGCCGCGTCCCTTCCTGCTGCCAACAATCGTAACACGTGGCTGGGGGAACCAAATCACACCAAACCCCCAAAACTTGCTGAGATTCCCTCCTGGAAGACGCGTGGGCTTCCAGCCGGTGGAGGCAGCTTTGCCCCGCATTATCTGGGGCTCTCCTCTTTCCATCCCCGGGTGGCCGAGGCGCTGAGCGCCGGCGGGAAGTTCCTCAGCGCTTTGGGCTTGGTTTCCCTTGTTCTTCTCCTCCTGTCGGAGCCGGAGGTCGCGGCGGCAGCCGGGGAAGCTCGGGCTGGGGGGATCGCCCTGCCCGCCGCCCCCTCCCCACCCCACCCCAGCCACGCGTCTGTCTGTCTGTCTGTCCCCATCTGGCAGCGAGCGGCGGCCCCGCTGCCGGTGGTTGTGCTGCAGCTGCCTGTCAGGAGCGTTTCCCTGCGCTCCGAGCGGCTCATAGCGGTTCTCGGGATCGGCGGGGCGCGCTCCGCTCGCCGCCCACGCCTCGCCGGCGCCGGAGGCAGGCGGGGAGAGCGGGCAGGGAGAGCCCCGGCAGGGCACGCTGGGGGGGGAACGCTCGGATTTTCATGCCCAGACAAGCCCCGAAACTGCCGCTTTTCGGCGAAGGGCGCGATGGTTTCGCCGCGGGCTCTCGGCGCGCCCGGCGCTGCCCAGCGCGGCACTCCGAGGTCCCGGCAGCTCCACGGCTCTCGTCCGCTCCCGCTGCCTCAAATTCTTGCAGAAGTGCAAAGTGCTAATTGCTCTCTTGGCCGGCTTCGGCAGCCGGGATTTATCAGAGCCCGCTGCACCCCGGGGGTTTGGGATGCGGTGGGAGAGGCTGGAATCTCCTCTCCCTGCCCTGCTGGGCTCCGCGCTGCCCTCCGGGACATCTCTTTGGCTTCATGTGGCTCTTTGCCGTCGGTATCTTCCATAAGCTTTTTTTTTGAAAATACAAGAGATTTAGGTCCCAGCTCTATGGCAAAGTTCCCAAAGATACCCCCAAAACTGCACATGGATAAGGGGTAAATACATATAAAAAATTTATATCTATATCTACATCTGCACTGTGATATATGTATTTCTTTTTTTCTTACTGGAGGGATAGTTCAGTGCTGGGGATCTAAAATAACCCCCTCAACAACTGCTCTTGGGAAACCAGAACTAGCTGCAGTCACTTTGCTCCAAGTGCCACCATGTCCCCACCAAAGGACTTTTGATCTGCAGCAGTAATTGGGCTAATTAGGAAGCTGTAAATGCTCCCCCTTCTCCCCAGGTGTCTGAGCAGAGCCCCAGCTAGCAGAGAGGAGAAGTCAGGGCCCCTCGCCAGTGGAACTGCTCTAATTTTACATTTCATGGGAGTCCCGGGCTGTAACTGGGCTGTGCTGGGATTGATGGCCTCCAGCCTGGGAGGCCCATAACTTCCCTGTGATGAAATCTCGTAGGTGAAATTTCCCTAATGACATCCAAGGCCTGTGGGTGTTGCCTGCAGGCAGAGCAAACCTGGGCCGTTTTACCCGCAGTGTGCGCCGAGTTTGCAAGTTCTCAGCTCGGGGTTTGCAGTTCTCAGCTCGGGCTGTGCCCCCGGGGGGGAGAGGGCGGCTCTGGGTCACAGCACCCACCAACCAGCCCTCCAAAGCCAAAGGAGAGCCTTTGGGTTTCCACTGCCTCCCAGGCTGGGTGCTGATGAGAGCCAGGGCAGAGGAAAGGAAAGTGCAGTGGGGCCCCGTGTCCCTGCTCACCTCCCCTGGGCAAAGGGCCACCAGCGGCGGTGCCTCCCTGGTGCAGCATCCGCCATCCCACACTCCTGCACATACTTTCCTGGTGAGGCAGCAGGCACAAATCTAAGTGGTCCAGGCTGGTAAAACAAACAGCGGTGGTGGTGGGAGAGCAGTTCCTTCCCAGCAGCCGGCAGGGACGCTCGGGGTGCTGCCAACAGCTCGCGGGGCGCCGGTGATGGATTGGGACCAGGAGCCATTCCTGTCTTAGGGAGCTTGTCTGTGGTGTGGCCACGTCCTTGCAGGCACCTGAGGAGGGGGAGAGACTGATTGAGGGGTGTCTGTGGGATGCAGCCCTTCTGCACCAGGCAGGGAGGGGGACACGGACCAGGCAGACCGCGCTGACCCCAGTCTGTGGCTGTGGGAGGAGGAGATGGAAGTGTGGCTGGCAGCGGGCAGCCGGCTCCCCGTGGCACCAGATGGCTTTGCACGGGGAACTGCAGCAAGGATGGGAGAGAGGGGGATGCAGTGGGGGTGGTGAGCTCCAGGCTCTGCCCCTTCTGTTCTGCTGGGGGTTGGTTGGCACCCCCACCTGCCAGCCAGCCCTCGGCTTCTTCTACCAACAGGAGAGTTTTGGTGGGGGGAGAGTGCCCGCCCAGCATGGCCCCCTCGGGCAGCACAGGGTGTTGGAGCTGGTGTAGTTCACCAATCCCACTGCGGTTGATCCGAGGGGCTTGGGATGCTGCTGAACCAGTCCCTGCAAGACCCATCCACCAGCGAGGGTGGGAGCATTCTGTTCTGAGCTTTCCCACTGCTGGCACTCCCCTGTGCCCCCAAATCCCACAGGAGATGGCCTCAGCGAGGCTGGCTCCATCCCAGCTCCGTGCTGGGGATTTGGCCTCCACGCTTGTTCCTGGCCTTGTCCCAGGGACGAGCCCAAAATAACCCCTCCAGAGGCCAGGAACAAGGAAAGGCTGGAACAAGGAAAGGCTGCCGTTGGCAACCAGGGGTGCAAGTAGGGTTTAAAACATGGGAAACCCAATTAACTTGGCTCCATTAGCTGATTGAGCTGGCTGATAAGAGTATGATTAATTAAAAGGATGAAGAATAAGTTACCAGGTCTTTGCTGCTGTCAGGATGTGGCGATGGCTTAATGCATGAAATTGGCTTCTTCTCTTAATACCTGGTGCTCAGCTACCACTGGCCATCAGTCCTGCAGGGAGAAACATCCTTGTGCCCACACCGGGTCTGCTCCCTGAGCCCATCCAGCTTCCAGGGATTAAAAAAAAAAAAAATACAAGGGGAAAATACAATCCCCCTGGATGGGCGATGCAGGAGAGAAGCTCCTTCATTACCTGTGCTGTTCTGGCCAGCTCTTGGTCTGGCCCTGGGAGCCCAGTGATGCAGAGGGACGGGGTCTGGTGCCCTCCCACACTGCCCCGGGTGGATTCCCGCTCTTCTGACAGGAGCTGACGTGGAGGCAAGCAGGGCGCGCTCCTCGGCTCTCTGCCCTCAGGGCTGCAGCCTCCCCCAGGGCTTGGGCCAGGCAAGAAGGGAAATCTGAACAGGTTTATAAATTTTGGTAGTAATCCAGCTCGCTGGAGTTGGGTCTGAAACAAGGATGGGTGTTTCACCACTCGGTGTTTCTGCCCGGGGCTGAGGGAGGTGGGAGAAGACTCAACTCGCATCCAATCCTTCCCTGTCAAAGAAACTCCAGCCCTGACTCTCAGTTTTTCCATCATGACAGCAGGAGAGATGGTCCAAGGGGTCCCTGTGTGCTTCCCCCTCTTCCCACCCTCAAGAGCCCTGCACCACTCTGTCACCTGCTCAGTGGTTTGGTGGTGGCAGAAGTGATGTCCCTGCACAGGGGCCATGGTGGCACTTGGTCAGCTGCATTTCCTGAGGATTTCCAGGGGAATTTTCAGCCCTGTCATCCCTGGGAAGAGCAGCAGCTGATGTGGGCAGTGCTGCCCCTGCTCCTCCACTCCCCTTCTCTCCCTGCCCCAAACAGGGTGACATCCCATTTCCCAGTGACAGCTCCTTCCTGTGCCCACCCTGCCATTTACCAGCATGGAAATTGGTGCCAACAACCTCAGGGTATCTTAGAAACGAGCAAACAAAGGCAAGAAGACCTAAAGATACCGGGTGGGGATGTGCCTGCTCGCTGATGGGGAAGGGACAGGCATCCTCCAGGCCCTGGGGCTGTCGGTCACATCGCTCCAGCACTCATCCTGAAATGAAAGATTATATGATTGGAAAAAACCATCCAGCTGTAAAAGCAGCAGAGCAATTTGCTTGGACCTTTTAATAGCCTCGTTTCATTATCTCCTGCAATCAAAGAGAAACTTGTGTTTGATGAGCACGGGGTACTCAGGAGACAATTTAGGATCCTGGGGATGAATTTGGGAGTGGAAGGGTATTTAGTGGCATGGTTGGGTTGCTGGGCTTACTCACCACAGGAGAAATCCTGAAATCCCTTGTTATTTTAAGAAGGAAACATCCAAAATCTGGTGCAAAGTGCTCCTGCAGTGGGGTTTTATCTGTGGAGGCGGGCTGGGTTAGGATTGGGCAGGGAGGGCATGGAAATTGCTGGGGTACGTGGGAATGTGTGGGTGCCCTGCGCCTGCTGGGGGCTGTAAGGACCAGTGCAGATGGAAAGAGCTGCCAGCTCCTGCTAGGAAAATGATGACTCAAACCAGCCGCTGGGATTTGAGGCTCCTTCTACCGCGCATGAGCTGGGCTGGAGGGGGGTTTTCCCCCCGCTGTGGTCGGGGGCAGTTCCGGGAGGCCCCGGGATGGCGGGGGAGGGAACCAGCACAAAATGTGCTCCAGATGCTGTCAGGGCTGGGATGCATCAGGCAGGACCAGGCTGCGCTGGGGAGCCGGAAAGGGATTTCCCCCTTTTCACCAGGAACGAAAATAACACAGGCACGTGATAGCTCATTTCCTTTAGCCTTTAAAAAGCCCCGTGGGATGGTGAGAACAGGGGAAGGGGATCAGCCCATCCTGCCTGGCGTCCCCTGCCACGTTGGAGCTGAAAAAAAAAAAAAAAAGCACAAAAATCGCCTTTTACCTCCAAATCCTTCCAGTGTTGTGCATCTGGTGGGGGGGAATATACCTTTGTACTGGCTTTGTCCCAAACTCCCCTATGTGCAAACCCTCCCTTTAACAACCACCCTGCATTTCCCTCTGGCAGCAACCCAGGGAACTGGTTGCAGTCGCTTCTGGACATGTGTGTGGCACGTAGGTGTGTTTAAATTCCTCCCCCAGAGCCTGGGAAGGCACTTGGACTGGGATGTGCCCTTGGTTTATGGCTCTTTCCTTTAAAGGCTGTCACCACTTGAACAAATATTTGACAGTGGGTTAATGATTCAGGCAGGAGGCATCCGTGCCTGGTAGTGCAATGGGCTGGGGGGGACTTTGGGATCCATTGTCTCCCCCCATCCCAAGGAGGTTTTTGGGGAGTGCAGCAGTCCCTTGTAAGGAAACCAGCATATTCCAGAGGATGTTTTTCCTAGGGAAGAGGCATCCTGGTGCCTGCTAGCTCCTAACTAGTGCTGCCAGCCTCATGCTGGCCTAGCTGGGGCGATGATGATGCCACTGCAGGGTTTGGCCTTGGGGGGGTCATGCCCTCCCCAAAAAAGGCCTGGAGGGGCCGTTCCCCTGAGATGCTGGATCCTGTCCCAGCTCAGTGACTGAGCTGAAAGGGCATTTTCAGCCTCTTTTTAAAAATTTGGCCAGGGAAGGGGGTCTGGCTTTGCCCTCCCCCTGGCTCGGGGGGCTTGGCCGCTCCTCTCGTCCCTGGCCGGGCGCAGGCGCCGGCACCTCTGCCCTGGCTATTTTTACCCGCCGGGATCACGAGCGAGCAGGTGACCTTCCCTGAGGGATGCTGCCACTCAGGGAGGGGGGGACAGTCGCCAGTCAGTCCCTGGTGCCCGTCAGGCTGCAGAGCAGTCGTTCCCGGCTGTCTGGGCGGCAGCAGCAGCCGGCAGAGAGGGTTGTGGAGGGGCTGCTCGTGGCCTGATAGAGAAGGAGGATTGAGCCTGCAGAAAGGAGCCCCTTGTTCGGCTCCTTAGGCGAGGTCATGGCTGAGCCTTTGTCTGGCAGGGACAGGGAGGGCACAGCCTGGGAGCTGCTGGGATTTCCCCCGGCAGGGACAGCAGTGCTGGCATCCCAGCTTGTCCCCTTCGGGGATGGCTCGTACCGGTGCCAGGGATGGGCCGGGAGCCGTTCCGTCACGTTCAGTGGGGAACAGACTCCTCATCCCCCGGCGCAGCCCCCCAGCTCTGCCGGCTCTATCAGCTGTATCGCCGCCCCTTGACCTGCTGTCCCCTCCTTCCCGCTCCAGGCCGGTGTCGTGGTGGCCGCGTTCCCGAGCCAGGAGCTGCGGGCCCTGTGCCAGCGGATCAGCTCAACCCCGGGATGACGAGCGCCGTGGCAGCTGAGCGCCAGCCGGGGCCGGGACCCGGAGGAGCCGCCGGGGCGCGGTGCCGCGGCTGAGCCCGGTGAGCTGTGCCGGACCCCCGCGCCGCCGGGGCCAGCAGCAGATGCTCCTTACCTGGCACTCGGAGCCACCGGGGGCCCTCGCCGCGGCTGAACAACGCGGATGGAAAGCTGCAGCCCGGCAGGTAGGAGCCCGGGGCGGTGGGTCGTGGGGGGCTCTACATCAGCCCCCACCCCGCTGCCACCGCAGGGAGTTTCAGCTCTCGTTCCCGCAGGGAGCCTCGCTGGCCGGCTGACACCATCCCGCGCCCTATGCCCGCGCCCTGTGCCGGAGCGGGCGCCGTCCCCGGCTCAGCCACCCACCGACCATGAAGTGCTCATTGCGCTTCTGCTTCCTCTCGACCGCCTTCCTGCTCGTCTTCGTCATGTCCCTCCTCTTCACCTACTCCCACCACAGCATCGCCTACCTGGACCCCGGCGGGCTGAGTGGCATCCATCGGGTGAAGCTGGTGCCCGGCTACGCGGGAATGCAGCGGCTCAGCAAGGCGGGGCCGTTCCCGCGGGGCTGCTCCTGCCGCCGCTGCCCCGCCGAGGAGCCCGGGGCCACCGACTGGTTTGACGGGCGCTACGACGGCAGCGTGTCCCCCGTGTGGACCAAGGAGAACATGGACCTGCCGCCCGATGTCCAGAGGTGGTGGATGGTGAGCGCAGGGGTGGGAATGCCGTGATGTGCTCTGGCACGGGGGGCGCAGATTTCTCCTTCACCAGCGAGGAGGGGGGGGGTCACTGGCTGATGCCCCCCCACCTTCCTTCCCTCCCTGCAGATGCTGCAGCCCCAGTTCAAGTCCCAAAACACCCACGAGGTCCTGAGCAAGCTGTTCCAGATCGTGCCGGGAGAGGATCCCTACCGCTCCCGTGACCCGCGGCACTGCCGCCGCTGCGCCGTGGTCGGCAACTCAGGCAACCTGCGCGGCTCTGGTTACGGGCCCGAGATCGACGGGCACGACTTCGTCATGCGGTGAGGGTCGGGGAGCACTGCCAGGGCACTACCCACCCCCAGCCCCACGGGCAGCACAGGATGCTGGCACCTCTGGGTGCTGGGATGGGTGGGAGTGGGTCCAGCCCTGCCACCGCCCCTGGGCTGGCTGGGGGCACCCTCGTGTCATCCCAGCACTCTGAGCATCAGCAGGCTGGAAAGCTGCTCCTTTGTGGCATTCAGCAGCTCACGGGGGACATCCCTGTCACCTGCAAGGCACAGGGTGGCTGGGAGGGTGGTGTGACCTTCCCGGCTCTCTCCCCAGGATGAACCAGGCCCCCACAGTGGGTTTTGAGGGCGATGTGGGTGGTCGGACCACACACCACTTCATGTACCCCGAGAGTGCCAAGAACCTGCCCGCCAACGTCAGCTTCGTGCTGGTGCCCTTCAAAACCCTGGACTTGCTCTGGATCGCCAGTGCCCTCTCCACTGGCCAGATCAGGTTGTAAGTACCCAGTGGGCACCAGCAGCACCAGGCTGGTGGCTCACCTACCTCGGGGACAGCTCCCCTGGGAGCAGGGCGAGTTCCTTCGTTCCTCTCTCCCAGAGCATCCCTTGGCAGCTCAGGCTGGAGGTGGGGATGTGGGACCCCCGAGAGCTCACCTGCCTTTCCGCTCTTTTCCCAGCACGTACGCGCCTGTGAAGCCTTTTCTGCGTGTGGACAAAGAAAAGGTACGGGGGGGCTCGTCCCCACAAGGGCCATGAGCCATGGCCTCTGTTACCCCATCAGCCCCCAGGGTTCCCAGTGCTCCTTCCCGGGGTGCCAGTGCTGACAGGGGCGTGGCTGGGGCTCCAGCACTAACCCAGCCCATCCTCCCAGGTACAGATCTACAATCCTGCCTTCTTCAAGTACATCCACGACCGCTGGACGGAGCACCACGGGCGCTACCCCTCCACTGGCATGCTGGTGCTGTTCTTCGCCCTCCACGTCTGCGACGAGGTAGGTGCCGGCTCCTCCAGCTCCCGGCTGGCACGGGGTGGGTTTGCTGGGATCCTGAGCCTTGCAGGGTTAAGGAGGGACGTGGATTCTTCGGGTCTTACCACAGCAGCATTCACTTGCTCTGGTCGCCTGACACCACGGCGATGGAAGGGTGGGAAGGCTGTGCAGAGAGACAGGGAGGGGAAAATCACCCCAGCACTGCAGCAGGTGCTCAGATGAGAGAGTCCCCCAGCCTGGGGACGGCTTCTGGCTCACTCCCTTCCTCGCCACTGCAGGTGAACGTCTTTGGGTTCGGCGCCGACAGCCGGGGGAACTGGCACCACTACTGGGAGAACAACCGCTACGCGGGGGAGTTCCGCAAGACGGGCGTGCATGACGCCGACTTCGAGGCGCACATCATCGACATGCTGGCCAAAACCAGCAAGATCGAGGTTTACCGGGGCAACTGAGGGCTGTGCCGCCCCCGGCTCCCTGCTCTGCCGGGTCCTGCTGCCCGCGGGGGGCACAGGGCGAGGGTCTCCCTGCTGGCCTCGGGCGACGAACACCAGTTGGGCAGCGCCCGCCCACAGAGCCACCCCAGCGATATTTGGTGCCTCCAGCAGCCAATCAGGTTCAGAGCTAAAGGAGACTTTTTGGCTTTTTTTAATTATTATTATTATTATTATTATTATTATTAAGAAACCCAGCTGAGAAAGGATTTATAAACACAATCAGCGACTGACCAGGCGGCGGGGGCGGCCGCCTCGCATCTCTACAGTCAAACCAAATGCTGCTCTTTTTAAAACAAGACAACCCCCCCCACCCCGAAGCTGGGTGACTTTGGGGAACCCCCTCGAGCATCAGAGTCTGGGCCGAGGGGGCCGAGGGAGCCGTGGCGGCTGCGCAGCCTCACCAGTGGAACCAGCTGCTTCTTCCTTCCTTCGTTTTGCATTTTTGTTGGTTTTATTTCCCACCTGGGGCAGCTGATGCTTGGTTTCTCCGGAGAAGGCTCCCAGCAGGGGCAGGTCCCAGCACATGGATCCGTGGTGGGGAGCTGGCAGCTGCAGGAGGCCGATCATTGCAGGCTGGTGGTTACTGGCACAGCTGGAACCCTGACTTCAACACCCAGGATCCCTGCTCCTCTACCCGAGGACTGAGGAAGGCTAAGACAGATTTTGGGAGCGACTGTGCAGGAGGCAGCTCAGAAACCCACGGGAGCAGCAGCCCCGTCCCTCTGGCTGCGCTCTGCAGGATTCCCAAGGCTGTGGGATGCAGCAGGGTCAAGGTGACAGGATTTCCTTCGCTTTCAGGCTGGGAAAAAACAGATTAGAGATAGCTTTAGAGGGTGAATGAACCGTGCTTTTGCTTTTGTGTTGCTCTAAAGAGCTCTGGTGAGAAGCTGAAATCCCAAAGTCTGCTCCATTTGCGAGGGTGGCACTTGGTTTAGACCAGTCTGATACAGCTGGTGCCCTCAGGGTCCCCAGGGCCTCCCAGGCTGGACAGGCAGGAGGCAGGGAGATGCTGAAGGAAACTGCTTCCCCAGAGGTGTCATTAAAACCACTTTTCTTTGGGTCAATCAGGTGGGTGGGTGGGGTTTTTTTTTGTTTGTTTGAGGTTTTTTTTTTAGGAGGTGCTGGAAAGCTCAAGAGAAAGGCAATAATGGGAAAAGGTCCCCCAGAGAGGGACCCTCAACCTGTGCAGCAACGAGTGGGGTGGGGGCTGTGGGGTTGTGCCCAGCTGGGGAAGCCCTGCCCACACTGCCTGATTGCAATAGTTATTTGAGGAACAATCACCACAGGGGTTTTTTTTTGGGCTTTGAGGATTTTTACCCTTTTGTGTCTGGTTTTTCTGTAGCAGCCTCTTACCTGTTTCTCTGCTTCAGTTTGGCTGTTTTTCAGGGTTTTCTTTTCTTTTTTTTTTTTTTTTGGGTTTCTCTCTGCAATCGTCAAACACAAGGCTGGGGGAAATTCAGCTTTTCTGTCTGCAGGGCTTTTAAACCCTTGAGTTTTGTGGTGGGTTTTGGTAGAGGTGGAGCTGCCCCAGCGCTGGCAGCCCCGAGCCCAGGCACGCAGAGACAGCTGGCAGCGAGCCCTGCTCTCCACCTTCCTGGCTGGCTTTTCAGTTTTTGTTTGTCTGTTTTTTTTTTTTACGGGGAAGAAAAGTAAAAACCACAAAACCACAAGCAACAATGAGTGCCTTGACCATCTCCCATGGGCCATGCCAGGCCGTGCCCGCTCCCGTGCCAGCAGGAGTATCCGGCAATGTATCCGGCAGTCGTACCCACTTCCCTCCCCGCACCAGGCTGGATCTCAGTCGGGAAGAGGGGGCACATCCAGGCCACTCTACTGGTGGCTAGAAAGGCCAAATCCAGTGTGAGAGCTGAGCAGGGCCCGGCCTGACAATCACAGAGAGGCCCTGGGTACCAAGGGGGGGGCCCAAACCCTCCAGTGCTGGCACCTGGCAAAGGGCGTGTTCATGGTTTGGGGCTGCCCTGACAGGATTTTTTTTTTTTTTTTTTTGCTAACTTCCTTCCCCTGCCCCCTCTCTTTTTTTGTTGTTGTTGTTGTTTTAATTATTATATTATTATTGTGTTTTATTTAAGCTGTCCCACTCGGACTCGCCACCACCACTCGTGTTTCCCGGGCAGGGCCGTGGGCAGGGCTCAGGCTCGGGCCGGCGCACCACTGTACTGTACATAGAGGAGATGTAGGCACAGGCTACGGGCAGGGAGGAGCTGCCCAGGCTTGCCCACCTGGCACAGGCACTCTGCATCCCGAGGTGCCTCATCCCAGCACCCGGGACAGACCCGCGCTCCGAGCGAGGGCAGCCCAGCCCGCAGCCTCTGCCTACGTGGGTACTTCTGCACACAACTGTCTTAAAACAACTGTTTTTTTTAAAGGTCAATAAAAACCATGCATCGAATCTGCTTGGGGGTTTTTCTTCCGGTAAGCTCTGCCTGCTGTGCCTTCGCCTGCACCCGAACCTGGGCGCTGGAGGGGTCACCAGAGGAGGGAAGGGGAAGGGCAGGGCTGGTGGGGCCCAGATGCTCTGCTCTGCTCTCCCTGCCTCTCCTGGGACAGACATCGACCACCATCCGTGGGTAACATCCCCCCAGCGGGGCAGGAGCAGAGCCTGGCCCCACGCTGGCCCAGCTGCCCCAGCACAACCCCTCTGATGATGGCACTGCTCACCCAGACCCCACACTCGTGTCCCAACCGCCCTGGACCCCAAAGCAGAGGCTCTGGACCAACACAGCCCCTGTCCCTGAGCCCCAGAAGAGCAGAGGGAAGGACATGGACAAACTATTGAAGGACATCATTCTCAACGTGGCACAGGCAGAGGCAGGGAAAGGGAGTCCTAAGCCTGGTGTCCCTGCAGGATCCCACGCAGACAACCAGGGGCTTTGGATTCTGAAAAACACACAAGGCTCTTGCATAACAAATGGCCAAATTCGGGAGTAGTTAAAATGCCTCTTTATTAATATACAAACCTAGCAACATTAAAGCCAACCAAAATATGAAATGAAAATCAAGCATGATATAAATACAGCGTACATGACAACATGGCCTCAGTGGGGAGCAGCAAACTCACCCTGACTTGTGCGCTTGGGAACGACTGTCCACGTCCTGCACCACGGGGTCTGGCAATCGGAGCAGCCCCGTCCCTCCCAAACCCCCTCGAATCCAAACCCTGCAGAGGTGAGACCGCCGCTCCCCAAAAAGGCAGAGCACCCAGCACAAGGTTTCTCTGACCCCAAATGGCAAAGAAGGAGCCTCCCCAAGCTGCCAGGGACGACCTGCAGGCATCGGCTTGCCGTGGCCCTGCAAGGGGAGAGGCCGTGGTGGATGGAGAACCGCGCTGGGGAAAGCTGCTCCTCGCTCTGTCCCACCTCAGCTACATCCATTGCACAACATCCACAAGCGTAAGGCACTAGGAAAGTGTTTTCACAGGTTCAAACTTCGGTTGTTCTTAAAATTTCGGTTGTAGCACTCGTCAGAAATCCTCCCAGCCCTTTAAAATCCGTTCTCAGGAGAGGAAAGAGTGAAGGGGTTTGGACAAGTGTCCAAGAGATATATAACAGAGATTCAGGGACATGAGCCTGCCTCTGGTTTCACTGGAAGAGGTGAAATCTGCTCCACAGGGGAAGAGGATGGAATCTGAGTGTGGAAAAAGTCTCAGCCGTGGCAAGTAAAGAGCCAGACAGCACAGGATACCTCTCATACACACAACATGGATCAGGTCCTACCTGGGGGGGCTGATGACTCCCAGATATCTGCTCTGCTTGTAGCAGGTGTCAAGAATCCGTGGGGGAAGATCAGCCGTTTACCAGCACTGAGAAATCAGTGAGTGTGACTGTGAACACCCTCCTGGAGGTGACATCCTGCTCCTCCCGGCGGGGATTCCCGATCCCGAGCAGGGGGGATCTCACACAGCCCATCAGCACAGCACAAAGCCAGCCTGACCCCGGGAATGCAGCTCAGCCTTGAGACAAATGGGAGATGAGAAGCCTCGGAGCCATCTCAGCAAACACTGTGGGCAGCAGCAGATCCCCTCCACTCCCGCTCCTGCCTGCAAATGTCAGGTGGCAGAGCAGGGAAATGGCCAAGCAGAGAATTTTGTTTCCTTTAACACAATGGGACACTCACAGAGCACTCTGCACCAGCCCAGGCTTCTTCAAGAAAGGAGAAAACCCATTACACCAGGAGGAAAAAGTGAATAAATCCGTTTCCAGAGGGCAAAACAAACAGGAAGGTGTGAGCCCAGCAGCTGTGCAGGCACAGGGGCTCCCAGCTCAGTACAAATTCCAGCCTCACTCTGCAACAGCAGCTCCCCCCATCCCCCAGTGCTTGCTCAACAGCAGCTTTCCAGGAAGGAAATCAAATGGCAGGTACAATCAGTGCCCAAACGCCGCACTCAGAGCTTTAAGGCATTTATAAATATTAAAGGGGTTTTTTTTTCCTATCAAATGCAAAGACTACTCATGCAGAGGGCTAAAAGCACTAAATAAATGCACGGTGCTGCAGCCATAATGCTTAAGGAAAGCTTAAAGTGCAAAGAAAATTTTCCAACACTTTTCAGTGACAGCTTGAAGTCATCTGATGACCCTAAACCCCCTCCTTCCCCAAGTCCTGTTCCCTGACTGAATGCTTTCTATTTTTTTTTTAATAAAAATACAAACAATCAGTTAAGGAAAAGGCAGTTTAAGACAAACAAACAAAAAATAATCTTGAGATGGGCAGAAATTAATCTGACCAAGTATTGTAACAAACTCATTTGGGAAGACAAACCTAAAGGTTGCGAACGTTTTGCTTGACATTGTCAGCAGTCAAGTGTTGTGTTTGAAATAAAAACAACTTCTGCCCTTCCAAGCAGCTGCCCCCTCTCCCAGCACAGAAAGTACCCTGGTTTTACAGATTTCTTCCCCAGATTTAACCATTCTGGCTCACTCAAATGTGCTGGAAGGACGAGGTTGGCAATGTCAGTGCTGGACCTTCACAGCTGCAAGAATGTGTTAGAGAGACCCAAGTGTTCAGGGCAATCGAGTGCTCCCCGTTCCCACCTCTCCCCTGAGAGAGGGAAACGTGCTTGGAAACAAGTGCTGATGCTGTCCCAGCCTGGCCCAGAGCCACAGCTCTCATCTGTCCAGCACCAAGGGCTGCAGAGGAAGGTGCTCCCTGAGCTGGAATCCAGGCTGATCATCTCTCGAAGGCTGGGCTTAAGGAATTAAGTAATGGGCACAGGATCAGAGCTCTATCACACCTCTGCTCCCACCTCAGCTCAGCCCTCCTCTGTTTTTGTGTAGCCCTGCCTCGCTCTCTGATGAGCAGAAGGGACTGACCTGCTGAGCCATCTGAGGAAGGAGACAGAGAAGTGGTAAGGACAGTGGGAAAACCCTGGCACGGGGAAAGGGAGGGTTAAATGATGGGATAGACAGTGGCCACAGACCTGCCTGTGAGTTCAGATATTGGTATCAGCACCATCTAAAAGTGTAAGAGCCTAAAGTGATGCAGAGAGACAGATCTAGAGCCAACCTGGCTCTGATGACAAAGCATCAGGTAGAAGGAAGAGAAGAACCCTGTGCATGAGAAATCCTCCAGCAGCACAGGGCTGGGGTTTGGAGCTGCTGCAGGAACAGCAAATGGTTGGTGGCAGCTCAAATGCAACAGCAGAAAGGAGGAATCCAAGCTTACATCAAGACTTGGGGATGCAGTGGATGTTCCACACAGCCTCCCCTCCTGGCCACAAAAACTGGGCCTGTCAGATCCAGACATGGGAGGCAGCACAGAGAAAACAACAAGCAGCTAAGTCTGGCAAAAACGGATGTGAAAATGAGTGTAACACATCCCTCTGAAACAGAAAACATCATTCCAAAACAGGCTGCCTTAGTTTTACCCTCAGATCACTAAATATGAACAGTAAAGCCTCTCTTCCACAGTACCAGTTTTAGTCAGGCCTTGCAGTACCCAAGGACTAACAAAACATGAGAACACAAGGACACAGCAAGGCTAAGACAGTGTAAGACCTCTGCAAAAATTAGTTAATGGAAGGAACTTCCCCAAAGTACAACCAACACTTGGGCAAGGCAGCCCTTCCACGCATGCACACTTGGATGGATTCCCTCCTCAGCTTCCCTCCCAAGGCGCCAGTGTGAACAGATCCCATTCTGGACAGCAAAGCTCAGAGTGACAGCCCTGGCAGTGACACACACGAGGTGCAGAGGGCAGAGCTGCTGCTGCTTCAGCTCAGAAGGAGTCGTCTCCCCTCGCCCTGCAGCAGACAGGGATGCTGGTTTAGTGTTTCCCCAGCCAAGGTGCGTGGTCTTCCCACGCAGAACGAGAACAACCAGCCTTTCTCAGCAGAGGGCATTTTAAGGCAGTTTTAAGGATGAGAATCAGGATGTACAACTTCACAGTCCATGTTCTTTACCACCTCAGACGCTCAGACTGTGCCACAGCCGCTTCCAAGAGCAGATTTTCAATTTTCTGGTTTGAAGGTGTGTACTAGAGGTATTATTCAGCAGATTTCGTTGTTCTTTTTTTAGGCACTCTACTTTAATCATCAGATAAAGGGATTAGTCTTACATCACTGCTTAATACCTCCAGAAGAAAACACCACACTAGAAGGATCTTCCTGAGCCTCAGCATCCCTATTTTAAAACGTGATCCAATTGTCCTCTTGATGGGTGTGTTCAAGTTGGTGAAGACAAACTATTCTTTACCACTGTGAGGTTAAAAATAGCTACACCAGAAGTTAAATCGACTGAGCCTGAGCAGCAGCCTCGGGTTCTGATATAAAACAAGAATCACAATTCACAGCAGAGAAGGCCAGAGTAGGCGTTAATGAGCTGCAAGACTGACAATTACCAAACCACCCCAGTCCCAAACAGCAAACACAGCATTACAAAAAGTGTTGCTGTATCTCTCAGCGTGGTAGAAAACTATTTTCCCCTCTCTATTTTTAGGTACGGAAAAGTCAATAGATCTAGACATAAAATAAACCTTCCAGACATAAAATAAACTTTAGCAGACACAATAACAAAAGTAGCTCATAAACCACAATTTTATTGTCAGAAGTGCTGGAGGAGAGACACCCCTGTATGAAAAGTTGCCTGAGGAAATAACAGGCACCCATAAATTAGGGAAAAGGAAAAATAATCACAAGGAGGAATATAATCCGGCTGCAACTTAATTGATACTTCAGGGAGGAGTGACTGGGAGAGGACAGCATGCTGCTGACTTTCCTTGGTTGGGTTTTAACCAGCTCTAACTCTGCAGAGAACAAACTGAGTGGTTCCAGCTAAAATCTCTCTTCAGGAGTTGCATGAGGCACCTCAGCACGCCTTGGCTCTGTATTTTGCCTTCCCCTGAAGAAGTACCTTTCCTCACCAGCAACAACAAAGGGTCAATAAACCCTAATCAGAAGGGCTGCTCTAAGACACACCCTAAGTCTCACATACAAAACCCTTTCTTTGGCTGAGCACCCATTTCCCTGGATAGGGAAGGCAAAGCAACATCCCAGAAAACCAACGGAGACAGCCCAAGGTCCTCCTTGGTACCTCCATCCAGCACAGGAACAGTGGGATCACGGGATCTCTCCAAGGCAGAAAGGATATGCAAGAAGTAATTACAGAGTTTAAATTGCTATTAGGTGCTTTATGAACCTTTCATTTAAGCAATTAATTCTAACACACCAGGCAAAATTTCAATTCAGAGAGCACTAATAGGGGAGTTTGGAGGAAATGACAGGCAGGAGGAATCTCTGCCTAGAGCAGCTGCACAGAGCACTCACACATAAAAATAAACCTTAAAGCTGTCCCACTGTGGCCACTCCATTTCAGAGGCTGAGAAATTCTGCAGGTCAATTCAGAACTAAAAGTCTGAAATCCTGGAAGAGGTCACACTACAACGAAAGTCATCACTGCCAAAAGAATACACGCTGGAAGAAGCGACATCTACGTTCAGCCTACTACGCCACATCTCAAACCCTTCACTCCCTCACACCCTGCCCTGCACCAGCAGCCACAGACTCAGCTGAAGGCACCACCTGAAGCAACTAAAGCAGCAGAAGGCAAACTTAAAACAAGAACCAGGGAAGGTTTGGAGCTCATATTTACACTATTGATGCTCGCCATTTAACTGGAAAATAAAGTGCCCAAAGAAGATTGTAGATCATAAAAGTGTTCATCACGGCTGACAGGGCAGACATCAGTGCAATGTTGTGTTTGAACTCCAGAGGAGATGCTGGAGCAGAAAGACCACGACAGAGGCAAGGAAAATGTTTAACAGATTTTTTTTTTTTTCTTTCAAGTAAATAGAAAGAGTCTTTGCTTTTGATTGTGCTCAAAAGGTGAAGAAGAAAAGGAAGATGTACATGTGCACAATGCAGTTCAGCAACCCCCCACTTCTGCACCATTTACCAGCGGTGTTCCAACTGGCACACTCTGACACACGAAGAAGGGGTGAATCCCAGCTGCACTGCCTGGAGCATCTGCAGGAGAAGCCAGATGCAAAGAGCAGCGCTGAGGGAAAGCAGTTCACAATCCCACTGCCATGCTCCCTTCACTCCCCTGTCAACCCCTTCAGATGAGGTACTACTGGGGGAGAAGAAAGAAGTGCAACAGATTTGAGAAGAAAACCACAACACAACTTCTCCAGTCCAGCAGAAGGTGCTGAGATGTTTTCCAACCAGCAGAAGAAAACCCAGTGTTTCCTGCACCACAGGTGAGACAAATGCTGGGTCTTTAACTTCAAAATAACCATGGGCAGCCAAAAACTACAAGATGTTGTCCCCTCCTGCTGCTCAAGTTCCCCAAACCAACACAAGTTTTACATGAACCTTGCCAGAAGAGTTTGACCAAGTCACAGAAACAAAGTGAAAGACAATCCCCTAAGAGATTGTATATTGTGCAGCTTAAACAGAAGCAGCATTTCAACACTGCTATTAACATTAAACACTAATGTATCTGTCCTTGTTAAAAATCGGTACTTTTGCTAATTAAAAAAAAAAAAAAAAAAAAACCACATTCCTTTATAGAAGTGAAATGCACGTGTTGATCTTCAGCTATAATTACAGAAGGCCATTTAGTTTCAGCCACCCCAGGCAAAAAAAAGAAAAAAAAAAAAAATGCCACCCAACAACATCCAACTTACCAGCGCCACTGCCAGCTCAGAGCTC